TTAGTTTTCGAGAAATATGAGTTATGAGACGGAACGGACAGAACTTATAGGATAACCTAATGTAAGGCAATACAAAACATTTCAATTTACTAGTTAGCCTGGTAACGTTACATTTTATCAATTTTTTTGGCGGGACGGCTCTCATAGGTTCAAAACTATGGATATTCCTATCGCTAAGGTAAAATGAATGTACCGCGAATCTAACAGTATCTAATCCTACGCTATGTTTCGCGGAGGCTAATGATAATAGAGAATTATTAGCAATTAAACGCTCCACATTCTTTGGAGTATACTGTAATTTTGATAAAAAACTAACCACAACTTGGAGGCTTCCCACGTTAAGTCAAGCAGTTGCTACGAACCGCCACAAACTAGAGACTGCTATAAGTGACTTTAATGACCCAAATTCTAGTTGTTACTCACAGTCGTAGCAAGTGAATGCTGAGAGTTCAAATATTCGTGAGAAATTATACCGTGCACGGTATAATTTAGTTGAGCACCTAAAACGATTTAGACCGATTATTACCCTTAATTATTGTTATTCCAGGGGATCAACTGCAAATCTCGAGAAATCAACAAATTCCTGCACTACAAAAAAAGTGAAGCAAGTTGCTACCAAGCTAAGACTTCTAGATTCCAGAAACCAGTCCGGTACAACGAGTATCTAAGATGCGAACAGTGTGCATTATGCTACTGATTGTACAATATTCGTCTGCACAATTTGGTGGTGGTGGATTTGGCGGCTTGGGTGGTGGCTTGGTGAGCGTGAACTTCATGCATTTCTTCCAGCAAATTTTATCAAGCGAAAGCCAAAATGGAATTCGACATCAAAAATTTTTAGGGCTCTTGTTGTTGTTGCTGCTGTCCATGCCCCTGTCCTCCATTACCTCCACCAGGTAAAGCTACTGCTTTTTTTCAATTGTGTATCGTGTATTTATTTTTACAGTCTATTATGTCAATCCATGTCCCCCACCAACTACGGGTAGCCCCATAGGTGTGCCTGACGTTATCGTTGGACCATGCGGTGAGTATTTTCAAATTCTTCGGAATGATGATGATGATTTGACAGAAAAAATAGTACTGCTTAGCTTTGAATCTGAATTGTCTGAGTTGTTCGGAGGCCGACAAACTGACCATCAAAGTACTAGTCTGAACCATTGTAAGAAGGATTCAAAAGAATTAAAGTCTTTAATAATAACATTAAAGAGACCCTTAACTCTCCGCGTTATTTACTCATACGCGAAAAAGTGAACCATTAAGTTTTATCAAACGCGAGATTATACCGAGGTGTTTCCCAACTTCGCCAAAAATAAATCGAACATTCAGTTAAAATTTTAGTTGAGGGACTTTGAACCGAGTTACAGAGTGCGGCACATTCAACCACATTACGAGTTCCGCTGAAACGGAGCCAAAAGCTTGAAAGCAAGACTTCGAAGTTTTCAAAGCGCTTTTAGGTAGCTCAGAAGACGCTAATTTCAAATATCCAAATTAAGCTTTAGATCCTAGTTGGAGAAATTTATGGCGGTGCGGCTATTCCAACGTAGCAATGCAATTA